AATCCGAGCCGCTATCCATTACTCCACTGTAAACCAAAAAAACATGCCAAGTAACTAAACCCAAATCACTTGAAGACTTCCAGGAGCCGCAACCACTGAAATAGATAAAACATTTTTCGTGCTATCGTAAACAAAATTTTAGAGAATAAACGCAGATTAATAATAGAAAAAGCGATGCCAGTTACTGGTTGGAAGAATAGTTTTTAAGAAAAAAAAAAAAAATTATTTTTAAAACATCAAACGAAGATAACGTTAATTATTTAGTCGTGACTGCCTTGCAAGTTGATCAACTTGAATTCTCCAGATCTTATTACGCTTTCAGTTGTTCATGAACACAACCTCTTCTCGGCCCTATCAAACGGAGAAAAATGGCGTGGTTTGGACAAGGCAAGACAGCCTGTGCAAGACCATCATGCAATGCACTGTTGAAGGTAGAAATAGGAGAGAACGCCAATGTAAAACTGGTTGGACAATGTCAAACAATGGACAGATGTGACTACACCAGAATTGCTATTAGACCGCTGCGGAAGAGATTTAATGTGGATTCTGCATTCGGATCCCCCCCTCTACGATTACAAACGTCAAGGGGGGATGATGCTGATGATGATGACAACACTTTGAATACCGTACTATTGCGGTGCTTATTAGCCTCTTCTCGTAACTGCAGGTTGTGGCGAATATGGTAACGTAAGCTTGTGCATGTATAATGTATAAACACAGGAGATTTGCTGCCAGGATTTCAATAGAAATGTGCATAAAACAAAAGATGTTCTAACGATGAATTGAGTGAACAAGATCTGTAATATTTTTATTAATATTATACTTGTCTAACCTGAATTTACTATATGGCTAACTAGTTTTTTATTCCATTCATTTACTCGGTCAAGCTAGCTGACATATTTATGAGTCTATCATGCATCACGGTCCTGCCTCAAGATCGGAGGATATTTAGGTTGGTATTCTGTGTCATAACATAGTTGTTTAATGTAGATGATTGATGTTATGTATAGCTCTCAGCATCCTTGTGTACGTTCCATTAATCGTACAGTCCAGGGTTTTAGTTAATGTCTAAGCAGTGGCATCATACATCAAAGCTGACTGTACAGTGGAGCGAAAGAATCTCCGTTTGAGGTCGTCTGTCAGATCAAATTCCCAGACTACATCCATTTTATTCAACGCGGTCCAGGCTTTAGCAATGCGGATTTTAACATCCATTCCATTAGAATTTATTTTGCTTCCTTGGCATGTAAAAGACTTATCAGATTTTATGATTCTTCTGAGACAGTTTATATTGAGCCTTGCTGGTTGAAGCTTATGAATTCAGTTTTAGAGCCATTGACATAGAGTTCCGCATAGCAGTATTTTATATGAGAGAACCGTGGCATTGGTATGGCGTTTACAGTGATAGCTAGGTATGCAAAATATATCAAAAGATTATTATTACAGACACTTTTTTCGCGTCTTTTGGAGTAGGATTACTTCACAAAATGATAAAGAATAAACTCTTTAAAATTATTCTAGCTTCGGGCAGGGGCTCAGTTTCTTTATAATGTCTTTTAGTGAACAAACGATTCCTCCTGTTGATATAATCAGGAGATAAAAGTATGACGCAATTGCAGAAACGCAGACATCGTCTCTTTCGGAAAGCATGAATGTTTGAAGCGAAAGAACATAAATATCTACAAAATAATAGTAAATTGAAGGAATTATTGCCTATCCAACAATTGTTTCTTTTCTGAAATGTTAGTCTCTTACGCATGGGAGAAATGAGTCTTTTTTTTTCCTTTACAGTTTGTTACATCGTCGATTTCCATTTAAGGAAATCAGTCAAACAGTGAGCTTTATTTAATTGCACCGTTTAAACTAGAAACTGTAAATACGCCAGAAGGGAAAGAATATATGACAAAAAAAAATTGGTATACATGTGTACAACGGTCTATTTCGAAATGTGAGAATATATATATATATATATATATATATATATATATATATATATATATATATATATATATACGTGTGTGTGTGTATTGTTGGAAATTCTTTTGTAATGTATGCATTTATGTATTTATCTGTGTATATTTCTGCAATGAGGTATTTTAACTATTCATACTGTTACATTGTTCGGATTATTTCCCTCATCTTTACTGTCATATTCACGACGTTTCGGGGGTTGTACGCTCCAGACTTCATCAGGTGATATACATTGGAATTTCGAATCGAACCTGGATATTTCAGTTTCAGTTAATTTTCTTTAGTAACTCAACTCTCTGACTGGGTATTCAACTCTCAATACTTAGGGACAAATCAATGAACTCATCTATCCACTCGGTCCTTTCGTCATCCTGGATGAATTTTGTGGACTTATAAATCTATTGTCATCTGGAACATCTGTGTTTGGGTGGGTCTATGCGCGTCCATTGTTGTGTGTGACTGAGCTGCGCATTTATATTTGCTTTTATTTTTAAAACTTGTTAAATTGTAGTTATATGACTTTAAATGTACATGCGCATAGCCACCCACACTTGTACACACGCACGCATGTTTTTAATTGAAGATAAATTACTTGTTCCTATTTTAAAAAAGAAACAACAAAAATCAAATTATTTTACATCAATATAAGTCGTTATAAACAGAACTTTTATTTTTTTTAAATAAGTACAAGTAATGTCACTTTCATTTTAAAAATTAAAAAAAAACGAGTATCCACCGCTCAAACATACAATTTTTTAAAATTTTCTTTTTTTTCCTCAGACATATATAAATATCGCTTATTTTAATTGCCAAATATATTTTTGAAAATTAAAAAGCTGTAATCCAAGCATCATATATAACTACAGATCATAGATAGATATATTAAAATTATAACCATAACCATATATATATACGCGCACACACACACACACATATATATATATATATATATATATATATATATATATATATATATATATATATATATATATATATATATCGCGTGGTCATGAGCTGCAGTGCGATTTTCGCTTCCAGCGTCTTATATACACGTGTTTATGGTTGCTTGAAATCATCCATGTAAACAGAAACTGACTATCATCACTGTCTTGTCCGTGTATTGCTTAATATGTTGTACAGTAATTGTAATCTTTGATAATGGCTTATGTGAGCCAAAACCTTAGATTTGATGAAAAATATTGATCAATATTGTGATTTTCTTTCTCCGTTTAATGATAATGTTATTAAAATTATCAGACGTTATGAAAATAATTTACATAAAATAAACAGACAACACTCGTCTATATTATTTAATGAAACATGTATGAATGAAAAAATGCTGCCTAAATCGACACAATATATATATATATATATATATATATATATATATATATATATATATATATATATATATATATATATATAGGTAACTATACTCATCTCGAAAAACCTTTCGAATTTTTGATTTGCCAATAACCAAATCAATCTCGAGGGAAAAAAAAAGGTTTTAAACAAAGAAAGAGCTTAAAACATGAAAGTCTGTCGAAAAAAATCTCACAGATGCAGGTTTGAAGCCCAAAGAAAAAAACCCGACACGAGTAAACAACTAACGAAAGAGCTCAATGCAACCGTAGAGCAGACCTAGAGCCGGCTTTCCCTGACGATCCGTTTAGGTGAAACCTGGCTAGGTTTGTCTGGCTCACTAAATTTATCTATATATATATATATATATATATATATATATATATATATATATATATATATATATATATATATATATATATATATTTACGTGTTTGTGTGTATGTGTGCCGCAGTACAGGTGGTGTTTCTGACGGATAACTTGACGGAGCCCAAGCGTCTTCAGGCCTATTTTGAATTTAGATTTTCCTTTTCCTAGACCGGTTGCCAGCCAAGGCTCAAGAACACTGTCTCTCCTGCTATTTACCCATAAACAGATTCATACCTTCCCATAGGGCATTACTACGTAAGTGAATGCAATGGATTCGACAGGAATTAGAAATCCTCAATCCGAGACGCTGTCCATTACTCCAATATGCCCCCTAAATATATAAATAGACAATTACAAAATTGAACAGTGATGTCGACAGTCTGTTCCATGAATGGAAGCAATCCTAAATCCATAAAGATTGCACGAAACAATAGGTATGTATGAAACAAATAGAACGTTATTATATCTACAATAGATATATATAGTATGGAAATTTCCGCAATTCCCTATTGTTTTAAATTCAAGTAGATTTTGTCGGTTGCCATTCCCTCCCAGTCTTCTGCCATTCATTTACAAAAGTTTCTAGCAGATTCCCTCTTTTGTTCTTTCTCTCGACATGTCCTTTATCCAATTCTCCTGGCTATCTTTTATTATTATATATTCCTGAAAATCTAACAAACCATTTTTTATTGTAACTTTGTGCTGTTTTTGTGAACCAGTGTCCATAAAAGATATTTTTACTTAGATGTTCCGTTTGTGTTATTCTCTCTAGAACCACACCTCTGTTGCTTCAAAACTGTTCTTCATATGAGAGAAAATGGTCAAGTCTTTGATGCCAGATTGATATTACATAGCAGTACTGAAAACTTTGTTTGCTTATAGCGAACTTTTTCTTTTCCTTTATATTTTGTTCAGTTTCCGGAATGAAATTGCACAGACTTCATTAGCATATAGGATGATTGGATGCAATTTACTTAGAAATACAAAGTAATTTGTATGTTTGTAATTCCTTTAATTAAATGAGTTTTCATTGAAATTTGTGACATTTTAAAAAGTCAGGCGGAAGATTAAATTTTACAATATAAGTGACTTTTTGATTATTTAACGTTATTTAGTATACGGAATTTTTGGAAGATAAAATAAATTGCATTTGCAAAAAGAATAAATTGAATAGAATTTGTCGTAATACAGATTTATACATCATGTGTATGGCGGGTGTGCTGGGGGTCAAATATTTGTCGTCATAGGTAACACAAATAAACGGATAAATTGAAATTATGCATGCAATATTCCGAAGGTCAAGATAAAACAATGGAATCACAATTATCTATCTATCTATCTATCTATCTATCTATCTATCTATCTATCTAAATTATCAATTCCAAGATCTGAAAGCCACTCTTGTAGACAACATGGGACTCCATTATTTATTAAACGGAGCTTATATGCGGCACAAGATCCCAACGTACGGAGCTCTCAGCTGCAAGTAATCTACGTGAAAAATTAGCTGACTATTACACTATCTCATATTCTCATTCGTGGTCTTATATATATATATAACTACGTAATTCTGTTTGTATGTCTGTTTGCTTGTGTTTTATAGTATCCTCAGAATTGTGGCTCCTATGAGTTGACATTTAGCATGTGGAATTCTTTTGTCCCTGGGAAAGTTTTAGGTCGCAACCAGCCCGCGAGTCAAGTGCAAATTTTAATCATGTTCTACCAAGATTTACAGAGAACGTTTGAATTTGAGTTTTTATGGACAAAGGGAAGTTATTGGGCCACATTTCTGTGTGCGAGTCACGACCCGCCCGCGGGCAAGTGCGATTTTTGTTTATTTTCTAGTAAAACTTGATCAGAAAACCTGAATTTGAGTTGTGTGGCCCCCGGAATGCATGCAAGTCAATAGCTTTTTTTATTTTCTCTCAGAGACATTAAAAGATGTCATGTTTGGTTTTAAAAATTCTGAAATTGAAAAATATCAGTCTTTTCTTCAAGAGCTTTAGAAAACTCACCTTCTAAAATCTCAGCTTCGAGGGCAACATAATGAGTACTGGCCTTGTGGTTAGCGCGAAAAAAAACCCTCAGAAATGAGGGCCTAGTGGTTTTGTGGCATTTGCATGTGCACTGTAAATACTTGAAAGGGTAGTTTTCGCAAAATTTACAAAGAACCCTGTTTCACTCATTCAAATTGGGATACATATTTCAAAGTAGCTTATGGGTAACATATGGTGCATTAATTTTATGTCTATTTTAGTCCGAACAAGTCTGAACTTGCTCTATCCATTAAAAGTATAAGAGGACATTAATCATTGGCCTTAGTTTCATTTCTTATCTAGATTTCTAAGGATAAACGTCTCTTGCTTCATCAAGTGACAATGACATATATCAATGAAATAACAATGATTCTCAGAAACTTGTTTCAGAACCAACTTAGTGAATAGAAAATGTAACAAAAAAAAAACTACACCTAAATACAGCGCAACTTTATTCACGAAAAATTGCCTCCTAAGAAGAAATCAAGCTTGGGAAGTGAAGTGCTTAATGTAGCGCCAGAGACAAGCTGAAACTGTAGAGCAAAGATTGTTACGACTTGAAGAACTGAGGGCAAGTGATAAACAACGGAGACAGAAAAAATCTGAAGAACAAAGATCACAAAACCTTAGATCTGAACAATTAAGATACCACGGGTCGGAGGAAGAAAGCTTTCAGAGACTTCAAAGAAATAAGGATAGACGTGAACAGCACATATATCAAGAATCAGATGAGCAAAGGTAACAGAAATTGCAAGGAATGACGGTCAGATCTGAGCAGTTGAAACAGCTGTAATATGAAGAGGAAAGATCGTTATGACTTCAAGATTAAAAAGCAGAACTGAAAAACAAAGGCAAAATGAATATGTCGGAAAAAAGTTGCACAGGCAAAACCAAGACAGGATACGATCTGCTCAACAGCAAGAAAGAAGACGACGAGAGTGGTGTTCAGCTGCATTTATTTATGATCCTTCATCTCAATATGTTTATGAACCGTCGATTAGTTCCGTGGAAAAGCTTTGTTCTCTTTGTGGGGTAGAATAAGGGAGCAGGGAACATATTGGACTTTGTTGTTTCATTGGGTGGCAAGGTTAGAATGGAACATAATCCTGGTCTACCAGATTTGTTGAAGAACCGTCTTGTAGATTAGAGGCCATAGGAACTTTAGAAAAATATCTTGAAATCCAACAAGGCATTCCAGATGACCTTCTTTGGTGCTAAGATCACTCATTTAAGACAATTTATGCCCATTTTCAAAGTGCAGGGACAAGTTTATCACAGAATTGTAGCGCTTCATTCATTACCAAATAAAGAATCTAATGTGTTTACAGATATACTCTGTTAGTGATATGAGGTAGACGAATGAAAAGCGAACAAGGATAGAATTATTGATATCATCTGGAATCACCAAGTAATGCTACATGAAAAGAATAGTTATATGAAAAGACCCAAACTTGCTCTAGAGTCAGATATATTTCCTTACAGTCAGTATAGATTACCAAAGAGACTGTCTGGGGAACATTCTCAGTGATATAATGGACCTGAGTGTAATGAGTCTGATATAATAATTGTTATGGTCCAGGTTAGGACCAAGGAAGAACAACACGAACACAAGAGTAGAAATAACGAAGGTATATTACACGAAATAATAATACAAGATGTGGAAGGTGTTAGTATGACTGTCAGTCTGGTTTGGAGTGAACTACTATCGGCTCGACTCGATTCGGTATCTAGCCCCCCCCCCCACGAGGGTTGCATGTGGCACAAGGCCGAGTTTAACGTGAGTTTCACGAGCCCGTAGGCTCGGCCAAAAAACGCCCGTAGAACCCGTATAAACGGGATCGGGTTGGTCAAACTCCCCGAACGAAACCCTGCCCTTCGGCGGAGCCTCGTCCGGGTTCCTCTCTGCTCAGAGGCAGAGAGTTCGACCGTCAAGCCGAGAAGCTCGGCTCGATTCGACCCTCTCTCTTGAAAGGCATAGTATACATAGTGTTAAGAAGACTTCATTCTGTAGTTATAGGTAAGGACCCATGGCAATAATGAGAGGTGAAAAGACTTGACATTATACTTCATAGGAGTGAAAATCAGATACAAAGGATAATTAAACATCAACACTCATATGATCCCTGGGAATATCCATTGTTATTTTTGAATGGAGAGGATAGATATTATCTAAGAATCTCCAAGGCTGGAGAAAAGAGGACTGTCTCTGTAATAAATTTCTATGCCTACCATTTCGTCATTCATCCGAATACATTCAATCATCTACACAGAAGTCAACAATTGTCCCACTTGTATGCAGTTGACATGTATACCAAAACTGAATCAGTAGAGATTACGATACATTAGGAGGAACAAAAACCAGCTCAATTCTGAAGAGTATGATCGCTTGAAAAATGCAATCAATAATTTTAATGTTGGTACAGTATTAGGCCAACATTGTATTTTTTTTTCAGTTTTATGGGAAGCCACGATATATGAAAGAACACACGATACAATGACTTATGTTAGACAATATGGCCACCCATTTCTATTCATAATCTTCACCTACAATCCAAAATGGAAAGAAATTCAAAATGAACGGCTTGAAGAACAGTTATATGTTCATAGACATGATCCATCCAGTGTGTTTAGGCTGGAATTAATAAACTTGGATTGACTTACACAAAAAAGATATGGTATTTGGTTCAGTTAAATGATATATGTGCACTATAGAGTAGCAAAGAAATGGGCTTCTTCATGCTCTCATTTTAATTTGGTTGATGGAGAAAATTAGTTCCAATCAAGTTGATGATAGCATTTCTGCTGGACTACCAGATCCAACTGAAAAACAAATCAGTATATGGAATGGTGAAAGCCATGCGGTGCAATGAATAGGAATTCTTTCTGTATGAAAGGCAACATGTTTGCCATATATCACAGTCTGATGAAGATGGATATTAAGCAGACAGAAGAACAACATCTGAAGAGGCTGAACTTCAAGCAATGGTTGGCAAACAGCATGTAGTTGATAATAGGAGGATTGTTCCTTACTCTCCTTTCCTTCTGAAAATATGTGATGTTCATATCAACACTGAATTTTGCACTTGTGGGAAATCCATAAAGTAAGGTTTAAAATACGTAAACAAGAATCAGATCCTGCTATATTTGGTCTCCAAAACCAAAACAGTCCAGATTAAATCAGTAATTAGCAGCAAGGTCCATACATCAGTAGCAATAAAGTTTTCTAAGGGATATTAAGTGTTGATGGGTCCACCCCTTTTTACACAAATGGACTCACCCAGTATATACATATACTACTGCTACGGGAAGACCCGAGAGTAAGACGAGAGCAAGACCGGTCGAGTCGAGTCCAGAGTGACAGAGTAAAAGGTTGTAGGTAACCGGAAGAGTGAGGGTAAGGTAACAGCGTTGTAGGAGTCACAATGAGCGAGCACGTAGACTCCGTAAGAAGTCATACAGCGATACTTCAATACCAAAGACTGTATATATATATATATATATATATATATATATATATATATATATATATATATATATATATATATATATACTAACCCGTATTCCTGGAACTACTAACCTGCTTTATCAGGTTAATACATTATTTTCATATATTCATTCCTGACGTTTGTTATTTATTGGTACCGGATTTCAACCCGGAATCTAAAACAGTAAGTTTCTCCACTGATGAAACTTATCCAATGGTCCGACAATTAGGAGTACATCTAGAAAATGGAGAAAAAAGTTTATTTTACACCTGATCTAGCTGCAAAACAGGCAATGAATCTAAGTGAAACAACATTCTTCAAACTCTGATCAAATGATCCATTTGCCAGAACATTACCCAACAGGTCCCATTATATTGCATGTGGAATAAATGAAATAAGAACTGGGCCAAAAGAGGAAGAAAATCTCCAATTGAAGGCATTTCAGAAATCAGATATCACACTTGCTCGTGTATTTACAATGCATCCAAATCAACAGAAATGTTTTTACTTAAGAATGTTGTTTGATGAATGTTAAGTTCTAGTGTCTTTTGATGACCTTTGAAGAGTTGATGGAATTGTTTAGACGACTTAGAAGCATGTGATAAAGGAAGACTGTTTGAGGATGATAGTGGAACGGAACACAAACAGAGGGTTCTCTTTTTGATAAACATATTAAAACCTGCAGAGTTGTCAAACCCCTATGCCTGTAGGAATAGATTTAAGGATTATCTCTCTGGGGACATTCTACATCAGATACAACTAAGATATCATGATATTGTTCTTAATTACTGTCAAGAAATTTATAATTCTTCACTGACTGATATTGAAAGTCGAATTTAGGCGAGGTGACGAGTTGCCAAAATATGGGTATCCACAGGCTGCCAGAGATGCAGATAACCGTTTAACAACAGAATATCTGAGAGAAAACTCATATTCCAAGACAGATGAATATGTTCAAAATCATGTTGGGGTGCTTAAAGAAGACCAAATATTTGCTTACTACTCGATCACTGAAAAGTTAAGGTAACAGAAATGAGGTACCTTTTGCTAGATGTTCCAGATATATACCTTCTGTAACAATTCTGATACTGGTCAAACTCAGTAAAGAATGTAGAATTGCCCTTGCGGTGGCATTATCTGGAATTGCTTTCACTTAAGAGGAAACGGACAACACCCTCAGATAAAACAAAAACGGTAACAACGACACATGTAGTAGAACTGCTCATACTGCATTCAAACTTCCATTTGACTTTCATACGAATGAAAACCCAGTCTGTAACATTAGCGAAACTTCTGGTATGACAGAAATTATAAGACAATGGCACTTGATTGCGTTTAAAGAATGCACTATGACAGCTCGGGAGGCTATTGATCGAAAAGGTAAAGTCAGTCTCTGATGGGAAGAGTCGTGGATTTACCAGGAGATTTCAAACAAATCCTTCCAGATATATCAAAAGGAACAAAAGCTAATGCGATTCAAGCGTACCTGAAATCTTCCAGACTTTGGCAACATGTCAATACTGAAAAGATATCTAAAAGCTCTTCTGTCAAGTGATCAAATTTCAAGTTTCCAGAAATATTATTATAGATTGAATAGTGAGGATCTTCTGTGGACAATGAGGACTGTTTAAACCTGTCACTAATATCTACCCTGGTGAAACCTGTTTTCCCAAATATCAATGAAGATTATCAGAATCACATTTCCTGAGAGAGCAATTTTGGATCCAAAAAATATTCCTGGGAATTCCATTAACTTTGTAAGTTTGAAAATCCTTCCAAAAGAGTGTCACTCTTTATAAGTCTATTGACATATTTGTAGGTCATTCAGACGTAGTTAATTATTCAATTGAGCTTTTGAACTCATTAGATCCATCTGAACTACCAACTCATAAATTAGATATTTGGGGCTTCAGTAATGTAAGAAATCTAGATCCACCAAGACTCTGTAATGGAACTAGACTTGTAGTAAAGAAAATGATGACACACCTTACTAAAGCGATCATTTTGTCAGCATATGGTAAAAGAGAAAAATCTTTCATCCCAAGAATACCTTTGATACTAACTTATGTAACAATACTTTTTAAGAGTTTGCAGCTTTCAGTGAAACTAAGCTTTGCAATGTCTATAAATATATCCTAAGGACAGACCCGCTCAGTTGCTGGGATACACCTTGAAGAACGATGCTTTTTCCATCGACAACTTTATATTGTTTGTTCAAGAGATGGAAGCAAATGATATATAATAAGTTCTTTCATGAAGATATTTCAGTAATCATTCTCAATATTGCTGACCTCTCGCTCTGTTTTCATAGAAATATTTTAGGAAATGGAATATGAATTGATGTGTTTAAATATTTTACTAAGGTAGAATAATTTTAGAAGATAATTAGAAAATTGTATGTTAATTGCTATAGTTTAATGTTTTCGTTTTGTTTCATTTTTCTTCTGTTTCAAAATAGTGAATTTGACTTTTGTGTTTCAATATTAGGATTAGAATATTTTTTTAAGATAATTAGAATATTGTATTTGAACTGTTATGTTTTATACGTGCTATGTTTGCATGTTAATAAATATGAGTATAAAATTCTTATTTTTTATACAAAAGTCTATTTCATCACGGGCAACGCCGGGTACTTCTGCTCGTATATTAATATCTCGCTACGTTTCTTTCTTTCTTTCTTTCTTTCTTTCTTTCTTTTTCTTTCTTTCTTTCTTTTTCTTTCCTTCCTTCCTTCCTTCCTTCCATTCTATACGTTAACTTTTTTCATTTTTTATTTTGTGTCGTTGTTGTTGTTTTAGCTCGTTTAATCTAAGGGTATTGTCCTTTTCCTCTCATGGTGGGTGGGTTCTCATGTGGCTGATTAGACCAACTTCGAAACGGCACGGATTTCTACAAGTAGTGCACACGAAAATATCTTTCATAATTGTGCGTGTTACGCATTTGGCATCCGTCCTCTCTAACGACAGGATCAAATTTGCTGTTCTGCTTTTAACGTGTAGACACGTCGTCAACTGCTTAATCACCCATAGAATCACCACAGAATTTTGCGATTAGCCAGGGAAGAACATCCGAGGTCTTTCCGTTGGCTGTGTAGTGGGCCCTGTCTCACTTGTTTTCACCACTGACAGCTTTTTCGTCAAAAACACACTACGCGAATCGGTTCTCAGCATACGCATGAGGTCGACAGCACGACGAATCTACTGATCGACGAGCATGTCATCGATCCTGGATGATTGGAAATGTTCTCGAATTAGAATTGATGCTGTCTAAATTTTTAACAAGTGCATGTATAATGAACACACACACACACACGCAGATACATACGAGTACACAGACAGTCATACATATGTCTTTAAAGTTTAAACGCAATCGTATGACTTTGTCTCTGGGTGTTGAATTCAATGCCCACTTTATCGCTGATATTGAGCACTTTAAACCATAAATGCAGCATACCTTAAAAGTATATATTATCATATATATATATATATATATATATATATATATATATATATATATATATATTAATTGATTTAAAATATGTTTTTCGCTACACAGTTCCAAACATGTTTCAAAAATAGAAGCTAAAACCCCGAATTTAATTTTGCAATTAAATTAAAAGCATTAGTTCCATTTCATCTTCAAGCGAATTTTGGAGAAAAAAGTTACTCAAAAATTCGCTAGAAGATGAAATAGAACTAATGCTTTTAATTTTAATTTAATTTTAATTTAATTTTAATTTATAATATTAATGCTCTGTAAATTTACATTGAACACTATTTTGTAAAAATAAAAATATCTATAAGAACACCGGATTTTATATCTTACTGTTCTCTTTATATATATATATATATATATATATATATATATATATATATATATATATATATATATATATATATATATGGTATAAGATGAAAAAACTGGGAAAAATCTTAGTTTTTTTTTTTTGCCGACGATTAACAATCAAACCACGTGTTAAAGTTTCAAGAGTTCAATCGGAAAAATTGTTTGTAAATTCAAACAAACTGCCTCGGTGGCAGATGGGAAAACACCATTGCGTGCTTGTTTACGCAGTTCAGCTGAAAATATTGCTGCGGTGCACGAGAATGTGACCGACAATCCAGACCCCTCTATTCGCCATCGCGAGCAGGAATTGAACCTCTCCACAACAACGTTACCTAGTTTCCATTTGTACTCTCGGTTGGTCGATTATGTTGACCAAAAAAAGTCGGGAAGTGTGCGAAATGCATTTCTCTTTGAACGTCCATTTTCGTAATAGGCTTCGAATCTTTCAATGGTTGAAATTGCCAAAGACTTAAGTTGTTAAATCTGAAAAAAAATGAAAAAGTCATTAGACGCTTAAACTTGATTCACATTTAAAATCGATAGGGATTACAATGTACAACCTACCTATGAGAAAAGTAAGTTATGGATTGTACTGTTTGTATAACATGGGTTAGGCAGACGATGTCAAATACAGGCGATAATATCCCTCGAAAAATAGTAATATCCGCGGCGGATTTTCTTTGTCTAACATTTTTACCCTAAGAAAGGAACTATACTTATACAGTGAAACCCGGATATAAGAGACCCGGATATAAGAGAAACCCGGATATAAGAGAGATTTTCTCTGGTCCCAAATTAGAGCCCATATTTACCTAAACAAAAAAGACCAAACCCTGATATAAAGGAAACCCGGATATAAGAGACTTTTCTCCGGTCCCGATAACTCTTTATATCCGGGTTACATTGTATGTATATATATATATATATATATATATATATATATAGTGTAACCCGGATATAAGAGACCCGGATATAAGAGAAACCCTGATATAAGAGAGATTTTATCTGGTCCCAAATTAGAGCCACTACTTACCCTACTTACCTAAACAAAATAGACCAAAGCCGGTTATAAGAGAAACCTGGATATAAGAGACTTCTTCTCCGGTCCCGACAACTCTCTTATATCCGGGTTACACTATATATATATATATATATATATATATATATATATATATATATATATACACACATATATATATATATATATATATATATATATATATATATATATATATATATATACAGTGTTACCCGGATATAAGAGAGATTTTCTGGTCCCAAATTAGAGCTCCATACTTACCCTACTTACCGAAACAAAATAGACCAAAGCCGGATATAAGAGAAACCTGGATATAAGAGACTTCTCCGGTCCCGATAACTCTCTTATATCCGGGTTACATGTATATATATATATATATATATATATATATATATATATACACATATATATATATATATATATATATATATATATATATATATACATACAGTGTTACCCGGATATAAGAGATATTTTCTCTGGTCCCAAATTAGAGCCCATACTTACCTAAACAAAATAGACCAAACCCGGATATAAGAGAAACCCGGATATAAGATACTTCTTCTCCGGTCCCCACAACTCTCTTATATCCGGGTTACACTGTACATTCAATACGAGTGGAAAAATAAATCCGTATCTAGTTTATTAATTCTACTGTAAAAAACTTACATATGTCTATCTTTTTAAGTCGAGTGCATTTACATCTAGATTGTTGATACTAGTCCATTTTTTTTATCTCTACTGTAAAACCAGATCAATGTGTAACATTTTTTTTTATTCCACTATAAGCTAGATACATATCTACTGATTTTAATCTTCTGTTAAACCAGACCCGTTTCTACACTTATTTATTCCCGTCCAAACCACTGCCAATGTCTGCTTTTTCACTTTAGTGGAAAACTAAACCAGTGTGTAACATTTGACTCTAACGTACCCCGGACCTCTGTCTCTATTTTCATAGTCTTGTGTAAAAACTCACCAATATGTACGTTTTAGAATCTAGCGTAAACAGAACTTATCACTCTATTTTCATAGTTTTGTGTAAAACCTCGCACATTTTAGACACTAGCCTAAACTAAACCTATGTCTCTATTTTCATAGTCTTATGTAAAACCTCACCAATATGTACCTTTTAGACTCTAGTGCAAACTGAACTTATGTCTCCCTCTTTTCACTCTTGTTTTAAAACCTCGCCAACCTGAAATTTTTAAATCTAGTATTAACCAGATGCGTGTATCCATGATTGACACGAGTATAAAACCGGAACAATGTCTCACTTCCTGTTATTTAATTGCAATGTTTGTTTAACCATACTCGCTCGTCTATAATATAATGTATTAATATCGAGTTGATGTCATATCAGGAAAGACGAAGCATGTGTGAAGATGCTGACCTGATACCCGGTTTGGGAAAAGTTATCCAGCTTCCTTAAAGTGTTACCCGCATATCTAAAATGAATTAATGTTATTACTCTATATTTTATTCGGAGACGGAACTGGATCAATTAATTCTATTATCGTGTTTCAGCTGATGGATTCCCTCAGTGTTGTCTGTTATTCAGATATCCAATACGGTCATTATTTCCAAAAATTACTCAACATAACATCCTTATCTTTATTGCATACATAATCTCCCAAGTGACTGGGATCGCAGAATAAAAGCGAATCGCTTGTTTCGGTGAATGGAAAAGCTAAGTATTTTTAAGAGATAAAGCAGATGTCTTTCATTTGTCAAAGCTGATGATCTTTACTCATTAGAAAATGTCGATTTTTGTAGATTTTTCTCGATAACTTAATTTGTTTGTTTAATGATATATTAACCAGTTATTTGTCATTTAATACCGAAATTAAATTTACATAGGAGCATTAGTAAATTGTATTGTGTTGTTGGTAATATATTTTTTTCTCATAAAAAAAAGTAATGCAGGTAATTTATTTTTCAAAAATGTATTTCCTGTAATATTTAAAAAAATAATTTCTTTACAGAAAGGTATTGCTGGTAATTTTGGGGGTGTTCTGAGGAGCGTAGAACCATTCCTTAATTGCTGTAGTTCTTAGGTACACCCTGCCACGGGGTGGTAGCACCTATTATGGTCCCAGATATGGACAAATACTTAACCGCTAAACGGGATCAAAACATTATTATTTGGTTTGGTTTGGTTTGGTTTGGTTTGTTTTACGGCGAATCAACCTCAATGGGTAATTTAATGTCGACAAAATTTTCATTGTTGGCAATATTTTTTTCAAAAATCTATTTCTGGTAATAATGTTTTCAAAAAATGTATAGCTGGTAATGTTTTCTTTTTTTTTCCTTTCAAAAACATATTGCTGGTAATATTTGTTTTTCAAAAATGTATGAATGTTAATCTTTTATTTAAGTGTATCACTGCTAATATTTTTTTTATAAAATATTTCTAGTATTTAAACCTATTTTTACCCTTTCACAGCAAAACACTATGAAAGTATATAATATCAGCAATATATTTTCATTGGAAAAGAATATTACCCGCCATATAAGAAAATACAAGCAATTCATTTCTCAAAGTAATTATTAATGCTCCCACGAAAATTAATTTTCGGCATTGAATGACCCATGAAGTATTGATATGCGACTAAAAAACAAAACGTCTTCACAAAAAAAAAAAAAACGTTTTATTAATATAGAGGTTAAAGGTTAAGCAGAGAAATAGAAATCATTAAAGAAAAACTTGTTTCCATATACTGAACCAATCTGTTCCTTTGTCCAAGTATGAGTTATACTTCAGAAAATTAAATCACTGATAAAGAAAGTATCAGAAAATTAATTTATAAACGTCGTAATCAATTTGCATAATAAAGAACTGTGTTGTTAGAATTTTAATTATACCGTAGGA